GCTAAATAAAGTGCTTGATAAGGTGCTTTTAATAAAGTGAAAGGTGTGCTCTAAAGTGCTATACAGATAATATAAATAAATTTAGTAAGGGAGTCCTCTTCCTTACACTTAGTGTGTTGTGTTGTGTTGTGTAGTTGTTCTGTTGTCGTTTTGCCTTGTGTGTCAGTGAGGTCACTAATGAACACAAAGGCACATTTGCAATGTAAAAACTGTCACTAAGTGATACCCCTCCTGTTGTCAGGCCTGCAGGTTTATCCCTGTGCTGTTCTGTCTTTTGGTGGACAAACTTTTTTTTTTTTACTGTCACACATCATTTGTGGGGCATCTTATTGCGAAACCTGATTGTTCTCTCATTTTAGTTTTAGTAATATTTTTAAATGGTTGTGCAAAATTTAAAAACTCAGCAGATGTATTGGCTGCATTTTTAGATAAATAGTTGCATATGTTTACAAAATGTACAATTATATAATATAATTGTACATTTTTATAACTTGAAATGCAAATATAACATAATTTATATCATATTTGCATTTCAAGTTATAAAAATTTACTCAACATGTCTGTTTTCTTTACAGCAAAAAAAATACTACTAGGATTTTAAGTTCTTTGTGTGATTTCAGATCAGTAATACTAATGCAGTATGTCAGTGAAAAAACAACTAAATTCAGTTGAGCTAAAAACAAAAGAAAAGAAGGAATGATACCAAGCAAGGCAAGGGGAAAAAATAAAATAAAACAATTTGAGGGTGAAATACAAACGTAAACTCAAAAGGAGTTTGTTGTATTTCAGTGGGTTAATCCAACAAATGATGAAAAATTAGGTTAAAATTTTTGTTCATGACAGTGCAGATTTCTGACATTTTGTGCAATTTAAGCATGTAACAATGTGATAGTTTTCTAACAAAAAAAGTGTGAAACTTAATTTAGACTTGTGTTTGTAAATGAACTGCCCCATGTTGTGTAGCTTTGTGGATTTTATACTTATTGGGCTACATATTTATTTATCACACAGGCTATACAGTACATAAAATAAAAACTCAAATGTAAATGCAAATGTAAGTGCGTAATTATGTGGGCTACAGACAATAATTAAGTTATAGACTATATTTATATGAAAAACATACTTACTGCATTTGAATCATTTTAACCATATGTAACCACCTGCATATGTGTTTGGAAAAAAAATGCTTTGATTTTGCCACCCCATTTGATTTCTTTGCCACCCTCATGCCACCCTAAGAAAATTTCTCTAGATCCGCCCCTGATAACAAGACGGAACAGTCGACCGACATAAAGTATTATTGCACGCTGTGCAAGAATGAATTTTCTTTTCATCAAAGCACTTCAAGCTTAAATTATCACATTGACACGAACCATACGTTAGCCAGGGGTGCTGCAAGCACTTTGACTAACGCGTCACCCAACTTGCAGCAAACCACTCACGGCGCATCAGGGGCTCAGTAAGTCGGCCTAGGAAATATTGACTGACACAGTTTCCAAGAGGATTGCAACAAACTACAGACCTGTTACTATCGTTTAGAAGATACGCTTTACATAGCTTTGGTTCCTCGTTTCAAGGACTTGAAGTGACTCTTAAGAGTTACAGAGAGAGTTGATAAATGTTTACTGAGTTTTTGTTAACATGAATGTTCAAGATGTTCAATAAACATGTTAGATGCGTATATTTTCCCTTTTTTCGCGAGTCTGTTTGCTCATGCAAAATGAAATGCAATTAATATAGAAAAAAAAAAGAATGATATTTATTCGTGATTAATCAAAATTAATCCACAGTAACCCTGTGATAAATCAAATGAAACATTTTAACTGTTGACAGAACTAATATCTGTTATATATTAGTGTATACTTAACTATTAGTATATAGTTTTTTTTAAGTTGTATTTCACAGGAGAGAACCTGTGTTCAGAGATTGAAGAAAACTATTCAAATTCTCTTTGACTTTAAGCACACACTCTTTGTGTTTATTCTGCATTTACTTCATTATATTGCATAAATGTCAGTTACAAGCTTAACTAAAAGTTTAAATAAAGTTTTAAAAAAGTAATATCAACCAGGCTATTGACCAAGTAATTGTGATTAATTATGATTAATTACAGAAAGTTGTGAGATTAATTAGATAATTTTTAATATATTGATAGCACTAGTTTAAATACATAAACCCTTCGTGCAATTAGCTTTGATTCTGTTATACACAGTAAGATAGATAACATCTGTTTTTGTTCTCTAGTTTTTATGTGAAACAGTGAAGTGTGTTTCCTGGCTTGCTTCATGTTCTTCGGCTGCTGTGTTGGCTGATGTAACCCTTGAGTAATAAAAGTGTAACTCTTTGTGTAAAGCACAGAGAACTGCTGCAAGTTCAGCCTGTTGGATTTTAATATTACTTCATTTACATTTCATGTGGTAACAGTCTTTCCCTGTAGTGCTGCTGTTGTTTTCCTAAACACATCAGCCTGACACTATAAACTACAGCATTTCCCACGTTGCTTTTGAAATCACTGCTAGCAATTTAGTTAATGTAAAAAAGTGAAAAAGCATCTATGTTTTGCTAACATTTTACGTTCTATGGAGAGTGGCAGGACGTCCAAAGGTTTTGTAAAGATCCAGTTTTGTTTATTGATCTAAGCCTGAACAGCTACGCGTAGTGTCCAGTAGAGGGCTCTATTGCTTAGTTAGTGGCAAGCTGTACTTCCAGCTCAGACCGGTTTTGTGGCGCACATGTCCCAGTAGGCAGCTCTCAATGAAGCGTGAAGCAGCGTGATAATTAACAATTTGCAGCCCTTGGAATGCGGAGCGAGGTACATGTTTTAAGTTGTATTTGATTGCTTAGTTGATATTTTGTTGTATTTTCTGCTTTATTTGAGTTCATATTTGTAATAAGCGTCTAAGAAAATGTATTTTGTGTTTCTGTTTAGTTTTCACGGTGCATTGGCGCACCTCAGCACTGTTAGACTGAATGAATCTCAAAGTAAAAATTACTGCACCCGTCGAGGCTCTCTCTATTTCTTCCTTGGTCCGTGGGACTGCTACAGGTTTCATGAAATCTAATAAATTATGCAACTTGACAGAAATCTGAGAGCAGATGTCAGCATTGTACTACATCTGATTTGCTGAACTTTCACTTTGGTATATGATAGAAAGAGGAGCTTCTTACCCTGCGGTTGGTGAACACAGAGTAGCACTCCTTCACCATCACGGTTTTAACAATCTCAGGGTCAGCCACCATTAACAACGGCGTTCGTCCATCGTACAACCTGCAAAAAAGACAACAGCCTTTTATTTTACAATAACACAATGACTAATTGTTTAACACATTTTTTGTTTTGCTTTAGATCGCAGCATTATTGACAATGAATTCAGAATTGTTGTATTTTATTTCTTTTTAAAATTTTATTTCTTCTTCTTTTTTGGGGGGTATTGCATGGCTGACAAACATATTTTAACATGAGTGAACTTCCTGGTTGATGAAGTAAATACTCACCCCCAGATGTCACCATACTTGGCATGACACTCTAGGTCAAAACCAAGAATTCCCTGCAAAAAGTTATAGGAAAATGTGTTTTAGTGTCAATAAGCCACTGAGTAGGACATGTGCATTCAAAAATACAGAGAAGTCAGGCAGGTCAGTGACGATTGATAAGGACATTAAATATGTCCTTCTCACTTCTTCAAGATCAAATCAGTCAGCTCCTCGTATCCCAGTCTCTAAGGTGAGTTTGGTTTCTGTGCGTACCTTTCTTATGCCCAGCATCGTTCCAATATAAGGCAGGGGCCTCGGTCCAGGTATCCCCAGCTTTTTGAAGAACCGATATGGCCATAATCCGTACCTGTGTCACAAAACAGAGAAAATCTGAAATCGTCAGTTGGACATTAAAACAAAGGGAATACAGAAGAAACAAAACTCCACGTACAGGTGGTTTGAACGCGACATAAGATAAGGGCTCGATTGTCTTGCAAAACAGTAGTCGAGGAATACTCACAGTAATATCAGCGTGAAAAGCAGGACCAGCAAAGTCCAGGTGGTTGCTGAAAACAGCGTGAAAAACATTGCGACTTCTTTCCGACAAAAAGCTACAGATGAGAAAGAAGGCTGGAAAATCTGTGTTTTTAAAACATCTGCTTCTGTGTGGTGGGAGGAGCCTATGAGACAGAAATGTGATTATGTAATAAGCTCCATAAAGGGTCAGAGGCAGGTCAGAAGCTTTTAAACCTTTTTTCTTCGCATTCTTATTCAGTTGTTGCACAAACACAGTGAGAAGAAAAGACACTTTAGCCTTCACACTGAACACCACTGCCTGCAAAATATGGCTTCTCCAAGAAAATCAAGAAAAATAAAGTTTTATTTAAGCTAAAACATTTAATTTCTTTTTTTCTTCTTTTTTGGCTGTTCTTATTAAACGCATTTCTGATCTGTTTTCATCTTGTCGGATATTCAGTTGCATTCAGGGTAGAAGGTCAACTAAAAGACAAAAATATTTCTGCCGTGAGTGTGAAATTGCTCTGTAAATCAGCTTTAGTTTTGAAGCATTTTAGTATTTCTTCACGGTTATAATAAAGCGGTTAGAATCTGAAGTTCTTCATTATCCCCATAGTAGTTATTTTTCCACCTTCCACGGCTGCTACGTGATGTAGTTGGTCTGTGATTTACTTTTGACATAAAAGTCTTGTTATCTGATTCTCTTTTTTTATGATGTTTGTGTGAAACTATTACAGCTGCGCATGCGCTGCAGTTTTGTGTAACCTTTCCCACAATAACACAATAAACGCAAAGAGATCTGTGGCCAACTACTTTCTCCCATTGCATGAAGATGGCGCCTGATGTCATGGCACGCCGTCTCTCGGTTTATGTTTTATGTTCTTAGTGGTGTCCCTGCTAGTTTTAAAAACCCACTCCCTGTTGGTATATGAGCAACAGACGCTGCTTAATATCCGTGACTCACTGTTGAAGCTCCCCAGCGTTAGCCAGGATGTGGAGGACGCCTCGGTACCGGGGGAACTGCATCGCCGTGATCCCCCCCTGAAATCCTTCGAAACGGAAGCGCTGGAGAAGTGGACGAATGCGCGGCACGCGCTCTGGGAAGCGTGTTCGGGTCAGAAATTGGATGCGGCGGGTCCTTACCATCGGTGACCCTGGCTGCTTAGGACTTTATTTTGGCCTCAGCGCTGCCTTCTTCCTGTTTACCCGACGTCATCGGAGCACGCTCACCCGAGGCTGCTTTATTGGTCGCCATGGAACTTTGCCCCACCGATGCCAGCTTCTTCAGCGCCCCCAGGTTGTGTGGGAGGGGAGGCAGGGTAGCCTCTATCATCAAAGACTGTTTTAAATGCAAACAGAAAGTCCTGGTGTTTTTACCTCATTTGAGTCCCAACTTCTGACTTTAGGCTGTCCCGTGGTTCTAATTATAGTAATCTATCGTTCACCTAAATATAATGACTTGTTTATTTTGGAATTTTCAGACTTCTATGAAAGGATTCTTATAGTGGGGGACTTTAATATTCATCTGTGTTGTGAGGATAAACCCCTGCTCAAAGATTTCTTAAATGTAATTGATTCCTTAAACTTCACACAATTTGTGTCTGGGCCAACACGCAAGGGCCACACCCTAGACCTTGTCTTAGGCTACGGGCTGAATGTATCAATTACTGAAAATTGCGTTTTACCTATTCTAGACCACTTCGCAATTTTATTTGATATTTTAATCCCTAAATCTCCAGCTTCTGTGAGGGGAAAGTTCCCCTCAGATCATCTCGTTATATTAGCCCTGAAGCATTGCTTGGAGTTAAATTACATCTACCTGATGTGTTGGACCCTATTTTTACTCAGGAGTTATGTGTGGACACCTTGACTGCGAATCTTAATAATACACTTCTTGAACTACTGGACTCTGTTGCTCCCGTAAGGAAGTTGAAATGTCAAAAAAGGAACCCTATGCCTTGGTTAAATGAGGAGCTCTTGAACTTGAGAAGAAATTGTAGAAAAGCAGAGCGTCACTAGAGATCTTCCAGACTAGAAGTATTTCTCCAGGCTTGGAAGGACTCATTGTCTTGTCTTCAATCAGCGATGTCGACAGCGAAAGCAAATTATTTCTCAAATCTCATCATGAACCATAAACATAACTCAAAACTCCTTTTCAACACAGTGTCGCAACTTACAGAGAGTAAGTCAACTCTGCTGTTCTAATTTGATAGCTCATGACTTTCTTACATTTTTCAGAGACAGGGCTGAAACACTTAGAAATCATATTACTCCCTCCTCAAGCAGTTCACTAGACTACTCGGCTGCTTTGCCTGTTGGTGCTGATAAACTGTTCCGTGACTTCAAGGTTATTTCTCTGTCTGGATTAACTAAGGTTGTAAAAGCAGCTCGATGTACAACCTGTTCTTTGGATCCTCTACCAGCCTGGGTGTGGTATGGGTGTGGTCTCTGGCCAGCTCCTGGGGCGGCGCAGGGGCGGGGTGAACAGGTGTGCTGGGATCTGACAGTGATTGTGTCTCTTTATATGTTGGCAGTGACAGTCGGAGGAGGAGAGCGGACGTGACAGCAGAGAGAGAGCGGGAGTGTCTGTGTCCCAGTAAACAAACCACAGTGTCGAATAAAAGTTCTGCTGTCACCGTATTCGCTCCAGCGTATGTTTCTCGGGTCCAACATTACACTGGGTTATAAAGAAACTGTGGTCAGTATTAGGACCCTGCATTCTGTTTCTTTTAAATACTTCATTGATGACTGGAGTCTTTCCTGAATGTTTTAAATCAGCTGTGGTAGTGCCGATCTTGAAAAAGCCTGGACTGGATGTTGACATGGTCGCAAACTATAGACCCATCTCACATCTGTCTTTTTTATCTAAAATCTTTGAAAAAGTGGTTTTTAAGCAGCTCACTGAGCACTTGTCAACAAGCAATCTGTATGAACCATTTCAGTCTGCTTTTAGACCAAATTACTCCACAGAAACAGCTTTAGTCAAAGTGGTAAATGATCTGCTGGTAAATGCAGACAATGATCGCACTTCAGTTTTATTACTGCTGGATCTAAGTGCTGCGTTTGACACTGTGGATCACTGCATTTTATTGGATAGGCTTGAACATTTTATTGGAATTACAAGAAAAGTTTTACCATGGCTGAGATCTTACCTGCTTGGGAGGTCTTGGACTGTTAGTTTTAAAAATGATCTCTCCGAGACTTGTGCAGTGAGGCATGGGGTCCCCCTTTATGTTCTTTTAATGTAACCTTTCATTGTTACGCTGATGACCTGCAGCTTTATGTTCCTTTAACCATTGGAAATTGTGCTGAAGTATCCAAAGTAGAATGTTGTTTATCTGCAATTAAGGGCTGGTTATCAGATAATTTCTTGCTCTTAAATACTGATAAGAGTTGATGGTCATTGGGCCATACAAATTTCAGCACTTGTCCCAAAATTTCATCTTGAAAATTGATGACAGAGCCATAAATTGCAGGAACAAAGTAAAAAACTTGGGTGTGTGGTTCGATATGGTGCTCTCCTTTGAATCTCATGTAAAAGAGATAACAAAGACCGCCTTTTACCATTTGAGGAACATAGCCAGAATCAGACAAGTTTTGTCAAGCGACACTGCAGAGGTTCTTGTCCATGCATTTGTGTCTTCCCGTATTGATTATTGCAATGCCCTTCTTTCTGGCCTACCAAAGAAAAGTTTTAGAGGTCTACAGATGGTGCAAAATGCAGCTGCTCGCATTTTAACAAGAACTGCTAAATTTGAGCACATTACCCCTGTTCTGAGATCTCTGCATTGGCTACCTTGTCAGGTTCGAGCAGATTTTAAGGTCCTGCTGCTCACCTGGCTTTAAACGGATTGGCACCTACAGTGGGGCAAAAAAGTATTTAGTCAGCCACCGATTGTGCAAGTTCCCCCAC